CTCCTCCCAGCCCCTATTGACCTATGTCTTTGAACTGTTGAGTCCTAGGTTTAAACAATGTCCAATTCCACAGTGCCCGTGGCTTGGGAAAGATCCTGAGGCCTGTCTCGATATGTCACCACAGCACAGTGAATTCACCCAGGTGCTCTGCTCTGCTTGGAAGAGCATTCTCCTTAGCTAACCTGTGAATGCCAGCTCAACTCAAATGCCACTTTTCCCTTTTAACCACCCACTTCCCTCCTCTAAGAGACATCCACCTACCTGCTCTCCTGTGTTTTCATCTGCTTTCCCATGGGTGCACCTCAACAGTAGATGGGTGAAGAGGGAAGGCTCTGGCCCCACACACCTGATCTAAATCTCAGCTCTGTCACTGACATTCCCGTGACCTTGGGCGAGTTAAGTTTCTAGAGTGTCAGCTTCAGGTTCTTCATACGCAAAAAGGGCATCATAATGCAGGACTGTGATTCCTCATCTGAAATCTTTGGGGTCATCTGTATTTTGAAATTCAAATTTTTTTGGGGCGGGGGCATGGGGAATTGCCTTTTTTCAGAAAGGTATTTCAGTGGAAACACTGATTATGTAACACCCTTGGCAGGGTCTGGGACAGCACGGTCTGAAATCAAACACATAAATATCCCTGTAGCAAAATATATGAATATTCACACTAAGTGGGATAAAAAAAAATCTATAAATAGCCACACATCATTTCAGGTCAAGTCTGCTTCCCAAATGAGTTGGGGTGCCAAACTCCCCCCCCCAAAACCCTGATTTACAGAGCTTTTTGGAATTTAAAATTACAGATAAGGGATGGTGCGCCAATAGCACCCAACATGAAGGTTTTTAAGAGCAAATTAAAGTAATATACCTATGTATTTAAGAGAATACCTGGATCATGGCAAATACTCAGTAATTGTTCCCTGTCATTCTTCGCTAATGCATTCATTGCAATATCAGCTTTGTGTTTATCTAGTGCTCTCATCCACAGGCTGTGAACCTACAGGTCAGTGGCTGTAACTATCAGTTTTGTGTCCTGGGTATCCAGAGCAGTGTCGGGTATAGGTTACCAGTGAATGAATAACTAAATTAACAAATGCGTGGGGGAGATAGATGGGGCTCTGTTTGTACCATCCCTCATCTAGGAAAATAGCCTTTTGGTCCATTATCTGTAATACTGAGATGAGATGGGAATTACTTGCCCCAGTATGGAGAATGATTCAGCCATGTATCATCAAAGACACTTTCTGGACATATATCTACAGTGAGGGGTGTGAGTCTGAACTTACAACCTAGAGCCAAGGGCTCATTAGATCTAAATGCTAAACAAACAGACTAATCACTTACAAAGCCACTGTTTTCTTACATTGCCTGGTTTTGTGCGGCTGTGGTCCATGGCTTGGATTAGCCATCTTGGTAACTTCTGGATTCAAGACTGACTGACAATTGACTTGTCAGACTTTCTTTGTTCTCAGATCAGACAGCTCATCGATCATTCAAGGTACTGTTGAACATTTAGAAGTAAATAAAAGGTTCAATAGGAACATACATTGTTTCTTTTTAACCAAAAAGTCCGAGACTGAGATCCATACCAAGGGAAAGGAGTACTGTTTATATAACACACTCAGTAATATTACTCTTTTCCTCTTCTCTTCTGCTTCTCATGACCCTTGAAACTGTCCAAACTGTTCAGCTCAATCCCACGTGACCATTCTGGAATTCTTTACATGGCTAGAAGGAAAAACTATCCACCTTGCTATATATTCTACAAATTTAGAAATGAGATGATGGGGGGCACCTGGGTGGCTCAGTAAGTTAAGCCTCTGCCTTAGGCTCAGGTCATGATCTCAGGGTCCTGGGATCAAGCCCTGCAGTAGGCTCTCTGCTTGGCGGGGAGCCTGCTTCTCCCTCTATCTCTGCCTGCTGCTCTGCCTACTTGTGACCTCTCTCTCTGTGTCAAATAAATAAGTAAAATCTTAAAAAAAAAAAAGGAAATGAGATAATGTTCAGGATATCCAATATGGTAACCATTCTTGCTTTTCTAAGGGATAGCAGAGGGAGATCAGTGATAACTTCTGGAACAAAAGACCCTGGTGAGAAAAAAACAACTCCACTCTCTGTTTTGGTTTGTTTTTTTGTTTTGTTTTGGTTTGTCAAAAACAATGTGATGTTTCCCTAACGCCTGTTATGATGTCTGGTCAATTATTTATTTTTTCTGTCCCTAAGTGGACCAAAGTAGGGCAATGCTAGCATGAATAAAAAAAAGAAAGTGGCACTTGAAAGAATTATGAAATGGAAGTTCTTCTGCCACAGAATTGTTGGCTCTTTTTTTTTTTTTAAAGATTATTTATTTATTTATTTGACAGACAGAGATCACAAGCAGGCAGAGAGGTAGGCAGAGAGAGGAGGAAGCAGGCTCCCTGCCAAAGCAGAGAGCCCGATGCGGGACTCGATCCCAGGACCCCGGGATCATGACCTGAGTTGAAAGCAGAGGCTTTAACCCACTGAACCACCCAGGCGCCCCAGAATTGTTGGCTCTTGAGGCTGGAAAGACCTTGGGAGGAATCTCAAACTCTGATCCAACAACACTGTCAAGTGCCCACTACAGCTCTGTTTGCACATCTCCAGTCACAGGGAACTTACTACCGATGATGGAGTACACATACTATTTTGGATCACTTTCAGGTCTTGCTGATGACATTATTAAGGTGTGGGTGGCACCTTCCACCCCTACAGGAAAGCTCCTGCTTGAAAAGTTGGTAAAACAAAAGAAAAATAAAAAACAAAAACCAAACAAACAAAAAAAACCAAAAAGCATACAAGGTCAAGAAATTGGTAAGCAAGACTATATAGCCCGTTGGGATGGAGGCCAAATGGTGTCAGAAGCCTCAGCAAGAAGGTGAGTGTGAGTGTGTGTGTGTGTGTGTGTGTGTGTATGTGTGTGTGTGTGTTACAATTTTTCTCTTTGAGCTGCGTTTCCTCCCCTTGCAAAATGTTACTGCAATGGGGTGATTTGAGTTTCTTGATGTCAATGGGTAAATGACAGAGGTTCTCTCAGCAAACCAGATGAAGCTAGTTTCTTTCTAGCTGTAGCATTTCAGTGTGTTCCAGGGGAATCGGAGAGGAAGGAGATGAATATGTCACAACAGCTGGTCTAGAGGGTCCCTACTGCACTGCTCTCCTGACTTATGGGTAACTAGTTACCAGAAGTGTCACTTGGGAAAACAAAGTAGGATAGGGCTAAGATTTCCAAGTAAAATCGCTTGTTCCTTCCAAAAATAACTGGATATGTTTCTCAAAGCCTCTGCAAAGGAGGAAGAAATAGGGCCTCCCCAATTTCTCAGCTGCCCTGTGCGTCTCCTCATCTATCATTGGGGTAATACGTCCAGAGTGGCATTTCGTAATGATAGCAACATTCCAGCAAATCGATAGTTATTTAATTCCCAACAAGCTCTCAAGTCCATTAAGCCTGATTACATTCACCCATTTCAGTGGGTGCCACTATTTTTCCTACACCGGCACTTAATCTATAACAGGAACTTATGAGAACTTTCAAAAGCAATTTCAGCATCAATCAGCATAGAGTGAAGGGCACAATTTGCTTGTAATTATTTATCGGACGAGGTGGCAGAGGGTCTGACAAAACTCCCAACAGCTGACCTTCACCCCAAGTTTCCAGTATAAGCAAAAGGCCTTCCAGTCTGCTCTGGAGTCCTGCTTTAGACGCCATGTGTGCCCCATGGGCCTGCCCACACTGGGAAAGATGGAACCCTTTCCACGTTGTGAAGGCCCATTCTCCAGATGGCTCACTTATTTCCCACACACCATACCGGAGTTTCCAAACGGAGCAACGGCCGTAGTCTAGGACAGAATGTTCTATTAGTATGTAGAATCACGCCCTGCACGTCTCAAATCACCTAAGTTCTTAGAGTTCACAAAAGCCATTTGGAAAAGGGGAAAAATGTGTTTGACCAGAACCCTCCCCAGAAATGTTCACTCACAAACTAGGATATTGCAGAATTTTAAAATATAGTTGGGTGGAGGGCAAGAACAAAGGTGAAAGGACACAGTGAACACAAAAGACACTTAAATTTCCTTTCCTGTAGAAATGCAACACAGACTTATTACAAAGGGATGATTATTCTCAACCAAATAACAAGCAGACGACAACCACCTAACCATCTGGTATCCCATCATGTTCAGGCTCTGTCCCTGACTCGGTGTTAGCTTTCCACAGAGAATGTCAAACATACACAGAAGCCATCCTTGTTTAAAAAGACAAACTTATGGTGGTGGTGGGGGGGGGAAACGTCCCAAGTCTGTTATTGGTAGATGGTTCTCCCTGCACAGAATTAATAGCCTTAAAAGTCAAACCAACGCACATCTCAATCCTCCACTTGCTTGCCATCATTAAGATGTAAACAGCTGGTAAGGGATTCCTAGAATAATCTCTGAACTTCATAAATAAACCATCAACAGAATGTTCCTTTTTGCCTCAATGCCACCCCTCAACCCAGGTCGGCGGCGGGGCGGGGGGTTGGGGGGGTTTCTATGAAAATAGACAACCCACACGAAGGCAAACACAGGAATTAATGCATATTTCATGCTCCTTCTATTTTCCGGGTTAAAGCTCTTAACCAAGTCACCTCATGATAAGTTACTCTGCCTCATGATCAGCTCTGGGAGACTGAGTCCCTCAGAAAGCCGGGAAGGAGAGCAAATCCTTTGCCCCGTGGTCAACCCTCCTGAAGCAAAGGCATGAATGTTAAACAGCGCCCAGATCAATACAAGCAAATATAGCTCAACTACACCATTTATTCAGCCATGAGAGATGTCAATAGCCAGATTAGGGTGATCCATCTTTTTGATTTCCTACTGTCTTCCCACTGACTACACGAGGGCTTTTTCCTGTATTAAAAGTGTTTGCTTTCTCAACCATAAAAATTCCAATTATTACTCGGAGCGCTCTGGAGTTAAGTTGCTTGCTGGCAGTGGCCTTGAATTACCTGGATCAGTCCGGGGAAGTAGGGGGCTGCTGGAACGATCATAGGCACGCCATAGGGATGCAGGAGGACTCCTTGAGAAGGCAACATGCTTTACGTGAAGGTGTTATTCCCTCTGAAGCTCAACACATCAATGGAGACTTAGGGGAAAATCTATAGACCCAACTTCTTCTGAACTACAAAGCTGAGCGCCAAATCGCTTCTGTCAGGAGCCAAGCGCCCGTCAACGCGGAGAGGGGAAAGAAAGAAAATCCGCATCAGCAACTCTTAATGTGAAAGTTTTCTTCCCAGACGACAAAGAGACACAGCAGCTGCAGCGTTGAAGCTACCAAAATGGAAGGTGCTATTTTGGGAACGGCTTGCCTAACATGACTAACCAAATACTCTTCATTAATTTAGTTCTCAGAGAGAGTGAGAGAGAGAGAGAGAGAGAGAGAGAGAGACCAAATGACACAGAGAGAGAGGCAGTGGGGCGATCGGGTTTGGGTTCTTCCTAAAGAATTGGGGCAAAAGGCAAGGGGCAGAGTCTGCATGGGATTTTTAGCGAGAAAACCTGAGAATGTGAATTGATAGGATTATCAGTTGCCACTTAAAACTCAAGTAGGTTAATGCGAGCAGCCTTTGGTACTGATCAAACAGAAGCTAAGACGACGGTCTAGTTTGTGCTTCTCTCCCTCTCTCTGGTTTTAATTTTAAAGGGGCAATCTGTGCAAATAATACAATAATCACACCAGCTAACATTTGCAGAGTGCGCTTACGCACAGAGAATGAACTAAGTTATTTACACAGGCTAAGTCATTTATTCCTGCAACTCTCTGAACTACGTATTATCTGTTCTGGGCGACACATGGGAAAAGGGGCTCACCCTGGTCGAATAGTTTGCTCACAGTTGGAGTGTCTGAGCCTTGGTTTCCTCATCTGGGAGACTGAGTAATGAGAGACCCTACTCATAGGGTTGTGTGACAAAGCCCCTGGTACGATGCTGGAAGCTATCGGCCATTCTTATCCCATCTTCCCTGTTCTCCTGACAGTCGGTATGGACACATCTCTGGCTTCAGATTGAAGGTGCAGATACATTCAAATCGTCACTCCTGTAGCAAGAAGGCACATGGGCTGGTGGAGAGCTCCCTGATTTTAAAAGCAAGGATGTGAAACAGACAAAGCAAGTCCGCCCAGCTAATGCTGAAGGCCCAGGGATCATAGGAAATCACCTTCAAACCGAACATCCGCTTGCCACATTCCACCTCTAACTCTAAGCAGGACATAAGATATAGATTTTGTAGAAACTCGGAGAGCTTCAGACACCACAAAACATATTCAACTATTGGCTTTTTCTAAATCCAAATGTCAATTCCTCCACTTTCAGATAGCCAAGGTGTTTTTACACTACACTAATTTTAGTTGCTTGATTTAGCTGCATAATTACATTTCTAGATAACAACAGTGGACAGCATTTGGCAGAGAATTCAATTATTTAAGGCTGAATTTTGGCCATCTTGACAAGATTTCTCTGTAATTGATTCTCGTGTATCAAAGTGGCCACACTGTTACAATTCAGAAAGCTCCAGTAACAGCTGCAAGTTGACCCCTCTTACTTAACAGCTTGATACTGTTTCTAACTTTAGCTTTTGACTCTGACTTTCAACACTGTGCTTCTGAGAAGTTACTGGGGAGGACAGAGGCATCTCCATGAGACAGCTTCCCGGGATGGGAGAGCTATTCATTACTTTGGTAAGGGCTGGGTCAGATTGATTTATGTCTCTTCAGTGTTATAAAATGGAAGGACTGTTGGAGGAGGAGGCAGGAAATAATCTGGTCACTCAGGCTAGAAACTTACACATTTAGATCCTTGGTTTCCTAAACTAGAACCGAGGTAACGATATCCACTTACTCTTCACCAAGACTGCTCCAAAGGGCAAAATTCTGGGAGTGTTTTGGAAACTTCAGTTACATAAATACAAAGGATCATCATATTTATTACTGTATCTATTGTTTCGGTTAAAGAACCTGAGGAGTTTGGAGAGAAATGAGAAATATATTGCGCATGGGCATATAGATACATAGCTATACCCTTTGCAGAAGGCATTTTCTTTTCTTTTCTTTTCTTTCTTTTCTTTCTTTCTTTCTTTCTTTCTTTCTTTCTTTCTTTCTTTCTTTCTTTCTTTCTT